TAATATACGACCAATAACAATTATACTTAATAAACATTGAACCATATCTGGTATAATATTATATAATAAACTATGCTTAATAATCATTTATAATTTAATAGGTCAATCTTATTAACTGTATTAGTAATTTAATAAGTGCATTGATTTGTAATGTAGTTGTGATGACTCATTATATTTTTGTATATAAGCGCATAATATTTCAGTGATAGGGTAGAACACTTTATCCTTTGTATAGGACGTTACTCTGTCCTAATAAGTAGGAAGTAGTCTAATTAATATATAAAGTTGTTTATGCTATCCTCACTATTTTATTTTGGCCGACCAACCTACAGTCTTTAATAATCGCGTTGTCAACATGTTCTGTTTTTTTAGGGAATAGAATGGTAATTTTTTTGAAAACAAAGTGTGTTTTTATTTCAATAAACGATTATACTACCGAGTCTGAACCTCCTGTGTAAATTTGAGCACCTTTAAAAAAGTCGCCCCGTATACTGAACGGGATCATCAGTACGAAGGCAAGTTCTTTCATCGTGTTAATCCCTTTCCGGACAGTTCTCTTTGGTGCGATGCTTAAATAACTTACTACTTTTTACTTGATGCATAAAATCCCGCCTAGCTCATTGATCTATTATATTGTCACATAAAACATAAAGTGTTTCATAACATTTTACAACGCAAAAGCTGGGCAATAACTTTTAAAATAAAGTTATGACATGTTATTCAAATTCGATTCTAATAGTACTTTATCACGTCGTCCGAAATATAAAATATATTCCCTAAGCGTAACGGACCACGGTCAATGTATATTGCTTTTTTTTTTCTTTTATAACATCCTGACCCTCCGGAGCATGCATGTGATTTATGGATTTATGTAAAGTGTGAAAGGATATTTTCGACGATAATTTGGGCTATTCGAGATCAATGGCGTGGAAATTTGTTTTTCCCAATTATATTACGTAACGCTTTATGTTTGAAACTTACAAAGAAATAGGTGATGGTTTCTTTTTCTTTTCAAATGTTACTCGTATTCATCTTTTCTGTTGTTCGAGATTTAACAGCCAGTATGTAAGTGACAAATTACTTTTTGTTCATTTAGCTTAAAATAAAGTATCAGTTTAAATAAGTCCTACGGCTGGGCAAAGGTCTCCTGTACAGATGTTACTAGGGTATACACAACCACGCGGTCCCAGCGCGGCTTGGCGGATTTCACATATCTTCGAAATATTTTGTTTTACAGGTTTACACACGATGTTTTCCTTCTAAGTTAAGCACGTAATAAATCAGCAAATAACAATTTTATTGGGTCCGGCACCGGAATTTTAACTTCATTCATATTGACCTTAAGCAAACGCCCAGCCACTGAGCTATCACTACAACCAAGTATCTAAATAATTTAACCCTTTATATTAATATTTACGGTAATATTTAAGATTAAGAGAGTTTTTATGAAATTATATTCGAATACATGCCAAGATTAATTCGAATATTTTTGGAACAAGTTAATGTATTTCAAAATGGATCGAATTTAAAATATTCCTCCGTGTCAGCATTATTAAATAAATCTGGTCATATTTTAGTCATCATCAGGTTTGGTCCTTTATTTGATTACTTCAATATGCTTTAGCTTTGATCATAACTTTTTCTTATTCATGATTGTGCATAAATTTTGTAAAACTGTAATAGTCACGTAAGAAACAGATAGATGACAAATCTAATCTTTTCCTTTAAACGAGCAATTCTTGTATATATATAATCAGAATCTCGGAAACGGCTCCAGCGATTTTCATGAAATTTAATATGTGCTTAGATTCGGGGGCGAAAAATCGATCTAGCTAGGTTTCATTTTTATAAAATGTCCTTTTATCCCTGTTTTCGGGGAATGAAAACTATCATTTGAATATGACGGCAAATTTCGCCGCAAAAATATGTTATAATAGCTCGGTCGGTAATCGGGCGGCCCCAAAACAGACCGCGGTTCGTATCACGATCATTTACACACTTTTTTTTTTACTTTTTTTTCTATACCAGATTTTCTCTCTTTTCATTGCTTTCTTTATTTTTTATTGTTTTTATTTCCAAAATACATGATTTACCAAAACAAAACCGAGCAAAGCTCGGTCCTCCATGTACTGATATTATTATATGAACTACTTACATAAATAAAGAAAACGCATATTTAAACGTGTGTAATTTATTGTATTCGCTTTATTTAAAAATGACTATAATTTCTACGTTCTGTTATACCGTTAGATGGCCTTATTTTGTTTCGTAATTCTATAATTTGACAGAAATAAACAGTACAGACAGAAGTAGATTTGAATAAATAAAGCTAGGTACTCAGCAACGCGTTATCCATGGTAGCTCAGTGTCCGGAACATCGATTATATATCAGTATTTTCGAACAACCTGAGTTTTACTGTGTAAGAGCGTCGCAACAGCCTTCGTTGTTGCACTAATGGGCAGTTCCGTCCATGGAACTGCCAATAACTCATATAAGACCGCCGGAAAGGAGCAGTGTCTTACTTCATCGTTTAGTGTGGTAACCGGGGCCCACTTTATTAAGAAGCAGTATCTGCAACGCCACGGGTGTTGCAGGTGTCCATAGGCGGCGGTTATCACTTGCCATCCGGTGAAGCGCCGGCATCTTCACACAAATTGAGTTCAAATCTGTGCCAATAAAATGGTAAACTGCAATTTTAATTGCTTACTTATATTGGGCTCAGCGGTGAAGGTAAACATCGTTCCGGAACCTGCAAATTTTCGAAATAATAATGCAGGTTAGAATCCTGGCGACGAAAAAATATTTACGACAGATTTAGCTACACATGTTTATTAATCAGTCTGCTCATTGATTGTCATAAACAGGCGTTTTAGTAAAACAACTTAAAAGTACTGCAGTCTCATTTATTGTATCGTTTTGTTTAAGTTTAGACAAATAAAGGTACATCAAAACACACACTGTATAACAAATACATTGGAAGATATGTCAGTACTAAGTGACTCAAGATTTTATATGTAGCTTCATTATTATTGCTGTCCCTCATTTCCACTCGTTCGGATTGATATGTGATGTATAGATATATGAGAACACATCCTAAAGTAAACCGCTGTAATAAATGTACCGAATCGTCAGTAGGAAGTTAACCTAAATATTCTAAGTTTCAATCGGATACTTTCGCCGAACACGAAGCACTTCTAACACGTATGTTGACATTACTCTAAATGCCGTGTAGATAAATATTAATATTGTCATTGTTTATTTTATATTAGTTTTTACGTATAATACTTAACAACAATACTAGACAGCGATTCAAAAAAAAGTTAAAAGCTATTAGGATTACAGATATGAAGCATATCTCTACCGAATTTGAACAGAAATTATAGTTAGTTATTGATAAATTTTAACAGCTAGTTTAGTGTAATAACTCGGTAATAATCAAATCATAAATTCTATATTATCGAGTTACATTATTTATATGCTAACATGTAGTTTTTTGTTACGTCCAATATAATCTTATCTTTTCGCTCACAGCTACATTAAACATTAATTACCCTCTTACAATTTACATTAAAATCAATACGTGGTAATTTCTATTTTGATATGAAACAATTTATAGAATTTATGGATAAATTTCAAACAGTTAAGCGGCTTATACAAAATTATTAAGGTTAAGGAATTATTTACATATTTACAAAAAATGCCGCGCATTACGGTAAAATAAAAAAAAATACTGAGAACTTGTAAATATTTCAATGATAAGGTTAATTCCTATTGACTATGAACAGATCAAGCTGTCACTAGTAAGCTTAAATTAATTTATTTTGTTTTATTCAAAACGTGTTGACGTGTATAACACATTTCAGTTCATTATTATTATTATTTTTACACTTTCGAATTGTACCTTAAGAAGTTGATATGGGCTTAGGTATTTGTACACAATAAAACCTAAAGGTGAGACAATTATTTTATAACTAATAAATAATTATACAACTATGGCACTGTGTAAAATATAAAAACCGTACGTATCTAACATGACATATTGACAATTGTCATAAACTCCTACGAAAAATTATAAAGTTCATATAAAAAAATTCGTCGAAAAGTTTTGAAAAAATTCAAATTAGAATTGTTTAGTACAAATTATGACGACAAAAACGAAAACTCTTTTATGTTTACGGAATGTTGTATTTGATCCTCCATCATTACCTACAACTATACCTCATTCCTACTTATTTTGAACAAGTTCTAAATATAAAAAAATCATAAATGCGGATTGTCGTGATTCTTATTTTGCTTATATAAGGGGACTATTACATAGCAACCATTCTACACTCTATTTTTTTCTATTATCTAGTTTTGTAAACGGAGATTATAAACATTTTTAGCCCTTGCGTACGTAATAATTAAATATAAAGGTGTCAGTTACCTCTGATGTGATTTTCGAGCACCAAATCCATGAGGTAAAAGCAATCCAATACCTATATACAACTTAAACTATTAAATAAAATAATATGGCAACAATCTATTTTGGTTAAAATCTGATTAATCTCTTTGCGATGAGTATAGAGTAAATTTCAAAGAAGTTATCCGCTCGTATTTTGAAAAAGACAAGCATCAATAGGAAAAGCAAATCAGTGAAATATAAAAATAATTTGAAATAATCGGTTAACGAGTAACCCCCGCGCTTATTTGTGACAAGTAATACTAATTAAAACATGGCGGATTATTTGTCTATAGAATAGAAGATTTATAAGCCCTCGGGGATGATATTCTTTTATTGAACTCTTAAAGATTTGCTAAATAAATAAATACCATTTGTCCAAATCAGATATGTAAATATATGTACATTTTAAAAACGTACAGTTTTGTCATTAATGAGGAGGACAAGTGTTTAATAATAAATTTGTTTATTTTGACGCTATTCCTCAAAATTAATATTTCACAAAATTCACGCAATCCAATCGCATATTCGAATAACTTTGCATAATTATTAACGTCAATCACAATGCCGAACCTTTGTCATGGGCCGTATCGGTGATTTTAGGTTTAAATATCTTCCGCTAGATTTGACGCTTGACACGCAGCCACGTAAGCCTGTATACATCGCAGCTGGAAGTCCAAGCGGCAGCGACGGTGAACCTCCTTAAGGAAGAGAACATATTATGAAACACTGCAGGAACAATAAACAAACAGAAAAGAATGGAAATACCTTACCTATCCATAATTTGGGATTAGCTTTCGAGGGTACTAGTAATGACTGAGAATACCCCCTAACAGGCGGCGCATCGTCTACTTGCAACATTGCAAGTCTTTTCCTGCGCCTCACCGTTGCGGTATGCCACAGCCCGTCATCGACTCTCAGCCTCGATTCGATGGACTGGAACCAATCCTCGTGGGACGCCAGAGTCATCTCTTTCACGTCAGTGTCCGTGTAAATCAGCTGAAGCCGCCCATCGCTCAGTCCGAGGCCAATGAAGTCGCGCGGACGAATTCCGATTTTCCGCCTCCACAACAAGAGTCCCGAGTCGTTGTAGGTCCTAAACTTTATCTCGTATCTAATACCGCGGATGTCACGGTTCCTAAAAAACGCGATTGACTGTACTATCCGGCACGGTAATATATACATATAAAATTGTATAATAACAAAAGAACTAGTCTTGGGTAGAATGGACTGAAACAATACTTTACCAGATTTATATTATACTTATACATCATTCAAAAAAGTAAATAACGCTACAAATGTAAAATTAAATGTTGCGAGATAAATAGCAGAATATGTTATGAATTTAAAAATCTAAGTGAATTGTAATGTGTAAAATTGTACACTTTACCTAATCTAATTTTACAGCACTGGAGTATTGTTAAAAATAATTATTAATATTATAGCTCGGTTTGTCCTTTATATGTTATCTTACGTCATAGAGTCCTTCACCAACATCTTTGTTAGTTTCTAAGCTAGAAATATAGATAAAAGGTTAATAAAAGAAATGTTAATACGATCCAAATGAACTATGTTACAATTTTAATAACTCAAGATTTATTATTATACTATAGGAGTACAATGACGCCATATTTCTCACCTGCGACTTCCCTTACTTCTGTATGAGTAATAATTATTTCCGTCGAACTTAATGGGCGCTCCGTCATTTAGCATCTCCACTTTTAATTGCACTTCGCAATTCCTTCCCTGGTACCCGTCGCGACAGATGCATTTATACTCATTCAGTAGAGGTATACAAGATCCATTATTTTTGCATGGAGTGAGACCTGATAATTGTAATTCAAACTAAGTCATTTGATTTTAAATTTGACTTGAATTTCGTTCAATTATTTTTCATTTCACTATTACAGATATCAATTTTATTTTTTCATGTTAACAGCTATCACGTTACCGAAGATGACGCGTCGGATATAGCGAAGTGGAAGTATAAGACCAAGAAGGCAGGCCTCACCATCAGATGGGAATAATTACTGCACAGTACAGAGAGAGTGAGCTGGCACGCGAGCAGCCGGCTCACCTGATGTTAGGTGACTACCATCCCCCATCGGCATCCATAGCTTCTGGTGTTCCATATGCGTTGCCAACCATTTAAAAAGCGCCTCGGTTACCTCACTCAATAGCCTTAATGCTTCTAATACTTCCACTTCTAGTCTTCTGTGAATCCATGTCACTGCCCGAATGAGCCTGCCCATTCGTGAAACAGCAGAAGCTGCTATGTGATCCTACCACAGTGAACAGAAGATATAAAAACTTGCCATCACCACAGGGCGGTCCAGTGTACTTCGTAACGCCAATTGTAGCGCACGGCAAACGAAACTCCTCTTGAATGATGGCACATTTCGCCGTATCGGCATTATACAAAGCAAGTGGATTGCCATTCACGAAAACCTGTTGCATGGCACCTATAAAACTGCTGGTCACTCCCGACATTTTATGGGGACGGATGTATGCTCTGAAAAAAGGGCCCAGATTCAAACATCTTTGCGGGTCGAGGAGTAAGATTGATGGATGGCTTCCTAAGTATGGGCGAACCCTTTATTCCGAATATATAATGAGAAAACTGTGAAAAACTACGTTAAAGCATACAGGGTATCGTTACAACCGCAACAATAAATGAACACACGTCTAACGCCAATAATCATAAAAAAATATTAACTCTTAAAAAATCTATAATTAAAAAAAATATGTTTCAAACAAACTAATTAAGTAAAAAAGAAACAAAATTTGTAACATCCTATACAATTACAACTGTATGATTCATACATTCAGAGACTTTGTCATTCGTTGCCACAGCGTCGCATTACAAGCCTCTCCTTCTAGCAGTATGTTTTCAAATCACAAATTCATTCAACCCATTCATATGCTTTGTGACCTTTACAAATGAACTTTACGTTATAGTTTTATACGTAAGAGTGTTCTAAAATTGTTTGTTTTGGAAAATTTAATAACTCGGTAAATATTGATGTTTAAAGATTGCAAATGTTTAATACTATTTTAAAAAGTTATCGTCTTATAATGTGTGTTCGTTTATTGTCGCGGTTGTAACGACACGCTGTATATTTGAGACGGTACTTACAAGGCCTTATAATAATAGCCTACCTTTTAAGGGTTTTTAAGCGTTTTTGTAAGCATCTTTTCAATTATAATTAATAAATATAATATGATTACAATAACCTAATTAACCGTTGTAATATAATTGTGTTAATAACTAATGTTCTTTACTATATAACTAATGTTCTTTGTATATAGTTATAGCAAATAATCTTAAATTTTACAACATATTTCCAATGCTTGGTACAAACGTTCGTTGATAAAAAATATCTTTTGGTCCAAAATGTTGTTTTAGATACGAGACTAAAATATTTTTGTTATAGCTCATTGCCGTATATAATATTTGATGTAAATTGCTATTTTATTCAATTTATTTTACTCTTTTTAAAGTTTCGAAATTATAAGACAAACTTCATAATAAAAAAAATATCACAATGTATCAAACGCAAATACGACAAAACATTGTATTATTGATGAGAATATAGATCGCTTAATATGTGAGTACCTGGAGGACCAAGCTTTGCTCGTTTTTTTTTTTGTAAATCATGTATTTTGGAAATAAAAAAAAATAAAAATGCAAGTGTGTAAGTGATCGTGATACGAACCGCGGCCGTTTTGGGTCCGCCCGATTACCGACCGAGCGAAATTTACCGTCATATTCGAATGATATTTTTCATTCCCTGAAAACAGGGATAAAAGGACATATTCTAAAAATGAAACCTAGCTAGATAAATTTTTAGCCCCCGAGTCTACGCACATACTAAATTTCATGAAAATCGCTGGAGCTCCCGTGGAGATCTCGTTTCCGAGATTCCGATTATATATATATACAAGAATTGCCCGTTTAAAGGATAAGAGATAAATAATGTAAAGAAACGAAGAAATTAAAACGGTGAAATCTAAGATTGAAAACTTAGCGATAGCAACGTTCACAATGTTATCTATTTCAAAATTATAATAAGGTAAGTGTATCGCACTTTACCTCGTCAGCTTCTAGGACGTAAATAAGGAAATTACCCACCTACCAAATTTCAATATGTCCCTAATAATTTTTTTTTTGTAGTACAAATATTCAAAACATCACACAGTTCTGTATGAAATTGTTAACGTAGTTATAGAAAGGGTAACACTTACGGCAGAGAGCCTATGAAGAGTGGAAGTGTGAGCTCAAGATTAGTGAGTGGTGGTGCAGAGAATCCCCTCTGCGTGGGGTGATGGTCAAGCTGGAGGCTGCCATGCCGTCCAACCCTCGTGACACGCGCTCGATGCCACCGACCCTTTGTAATCGGAACGGGAGAACTGCGTCGAAAGAAAAACGAACAGAGCTGTTATTGCAAACTTTTGCGAGAAGTGATTGAAGGACAAAAATATTACTACGGACGGAAATGAATGATTTTTCGAATGTAAAAATATTCGTTACTTTAAATCTTAAACTAAACAAAATAGGAAGTTCCATTTGATAATTTTTAAATGTTATATGATTTTGGTTTATAAAAACAAAAAAATATGAAAGCAATGTTACATGAATATAATCTAAAATTTAATCACTCACTTGCCCTACGATACTTACGTTATATTTGCTATCCCGCTACCCAAATTGTACCTAAACTGTAGGTAACCATTAACTAAGTTAATCGCAATAAAATCCCCCTTGGCTTTATTAGACTGGCCCGTATAGAGAAGCATTCCGGAGAATCGGTTCGTTAAAAACCAAATTTCAATGCGGAACGCTTTGCCCAAGCCCTCTAGAGGCAGTAATTCGATGTAGCTCGTTCCATTAAACTGTGGAGACCAAGTTTCCTGCACCACGCTGACATCTGTAAGCATGTCCAATTAATGAATTGAACTAATGAAAAAAAAGAAGTAATAAATTCCACTCACCATTGCTACACGTATTTCCATTAGAGCCAATTTCGCCACCAAACAAACAGCGACAAACGTGTCCGCCCTCGGGTCCGATGTCACATAATACCCCTTCGTCATATCCACAGGGATTTGACTCGCAAGGATCAAGTCTCTCGTCACAATTGGCTCCTTGAAATCCGACCGGGCACACACATGTATATTCGGTCGCAGATCCATCTAAAGGTTTACACGTAGCTTCATTCTTACAAGGCATACTCATACAAGGGTTAGATTGGCAGTCCCGAACGTTTTCTATAGCCACTACTAATGAGTCCGGCCGGCCCAATTTCTTTGTCACTTGATGACGTATTATCCTCAAGTATTTCACACAGCCGACAAAGCCGGCTCGTGTGCCGATATTATCGAAAACCCTGAACAAAGACATTCATTACTTTATGACTGCTTGTTAAAAGAGAAAGTAATTAATTACACTGATCAGATATCATCCGTAAAGAAAAAAATCAACTGTATTGTAAGTCTGTCTTCAAGTATTTACCTGGAGTAATTCGTTGGAACACTGCCAATGTATGTATCATCAGCAAGATCTAAGGCCTTTAAATTTCCACTCGATTGTCCAGCTACATCTTCCATATCACCAACTGATAATATTCCATCTCGATGATATCTCTTCGCTGACACTTTGTGATACTCATTCAAAGTTATTTTTTCAAGCGAGGTTAAAATTATTGCTCCGTTGCCAAGGTTATATCTAAGTATATATATTTTTATTTGAAACTTAACAATATGATCGATTTTAATAATAAATGTACTAAATAATAAACATTTATAAATAATCTTTCGTTTTACCACCGGATCATGAATATTAAAGTTTACTTTTTTCAATGCTCTTACTAACTTCCTCAAATATACCTCAACTAATAAAAAAAATTTAAAGAATTGTGTCAAACCAGTTTATTAACAAATCTACTTGTTTGAAGAGAAATATGAATAAGAAAGAAAGAACTAAATAAAAGATATGATACTTACCTAAATTCTAAGTATCCGTTGACTAAAGCCAACGAAACGAAATCTCCTGTGCCATCGGGTTTTTGTTGGTTGTATAGTATAACTCCATTTTCTGAGAAAGCTTTAAATTCAATATCAATGTTTAACTTATGGTATGCTTTCAGCGGTTTCAAGCGTATGTAAGATGAGCCGTCGAATGATGGCGTTTCGATATATGCATTTGGTAGGTTGTCTTTAATGAGCATTTCACAGTTCGAGCTGGTATAAAGCCCAGTGCAGATACATGTATACGTAGACCCGGGTAGATCAATGCACGTGCCAAGGTTATGACATGGTTCAGACAAACATGCACTGTATTCCTCTGTTGTTTCTTGCGTAATTTGTTCTGTGAAAAATACAAAAATTAAACAGGCGAAACTAAAATTAATAAAAATAAAAAAACATAAAATATTAAAATTAAAAAACCGAAGAAACTGTAAAGTCAACCTCAAATAAATACAGTAATAGCATTTAAATTTTACAACGTACAATACGCACTAATATTTCTAATGGCATGTAACAATGAACATTATCGCGGCTTAAAAGTTCAACGCACAGATAACTTACTACAGTATTGTTTTACAATTAATTATCAATTAAACATTTAAAATTACATGTTATATTTAACATTCAGATACAACTAAATAAACGTATAAGTCTGTTCGTAGTTCTGTCAAATAAAATAACAAATAGTCTAAACACGGAGTAAATTTTTTATAAATTAAACAAATCGAAACGGCTAATCAATTAAACAAGCCGCTGGAATTATGGTAACAGTTACGAATTATCGGAGAGAACTACGCTTCAAACCTGTAAAGGTCTAAAAACTTAGCTTGGTTAAAGGCGAAGCTTAGGCTAGCGTACTAATAGGCTTACCGATGCAAGCTTTTCTGTGGGCGGTCGCAGAGAATCCCGGTCGACACACGCAGCCGCCTCTGGCGCAGTAGGCGCCTGGCAAAGCCGAGCAGTCCGCATCCTCGGAGCACAGGTCGCCCAACAGCGCGCCAACAGCCCCCACTGTCGCCGTCGTCGCTGTTTGCGAACCTAATTTGATTACTGTACCTTAGCTTCTTAACACGACACGCGTGACAAGAACAATGACAAATACTTTTTTTGTACAAAATCTGTAATATTTTTTATTTCATACCGTAATCCGTTATCCATATATACTAATAGTTTTACTTTAAGCTAAAAAAAACTATCAAGTAACTTTTTCAAAAAACTAATCCAATTATGAAAGTCCGCAGTCATGAATTTGATAATAATGGAGAAATAAATGATGTTGAATAACTCTTACGTTACGTATAAACGTGGTAAATATTAGTAAGCCCGTAATATTCCTAGAATTTGTACGAAATTAACCTCGTAAAATAAGTTTGTGTAATAAAACGAGTAACTGGATAATAGCTCACGTAGCACGCAAAACTTTTATTTCCGGTGCTTGTTGCTTCATTATAATTAAATGGTCTTCTGGGCCTTGTGCAAAACTTTTATGCTTCGATATAAATGCGATGTTCTCCAACAATTACGACGATTAACTAAATAACAATACGTTTCCTATTAAAATATTCGTTACTAAATTAATAGTTGTAAATGTAACAGAGTTAAATTACATACAGAGGAACAATATGTATCCATGACTTTATAATATATAAGTTAAAGTTACAACACATATATATAGACGTTATGAAAAACCTTAAAATATACTTTATAAAATGAACAAAGTAGCTTTTAGTTTTAACGTCAGAACTTCTTCCAAGGTTCAGCGTCTTTAAAAAGTCTTCATCGTTCTCTTTCATAGCTTTCTACGTTGCTTTATTTTACATTATTATTTGGAGATCTTTCATTCTGCAGTACAAAGTAACAAAAGTTACCCCATGAAGCACTTTTGGCATTTACTATAAGATATAAATCATTAATATTTAGGTAAACACAATGTTTTTATTTATTAGGCAAAGAAAAGTTTTGTTACGTATTACATCCCGCAGTATAAGCCCGTGTCACGAATGACGAGGGCAAACTTCACACGCTACGCTAGCCGTAATCTGTTCATAATTAACGTGATTAAGACGTATTGGGAACAAAATCTTTGTAAACGTTGAATGTTATTCACCACGGACTAAAGGTTTCCTCGCGTTCAATTTTGATTATTAATTTAAATACGGGAAGTTTTTTCGATTATAACAAAGGTTACCTACGTTCTTTATTCTCAAATACACTCATAAGGTTAATGGATATTAGGATAGAAGGATGTTATATTCCACACCCATATAAGTACTCAAAACATAGTTATCGATGGAGTTCGATTTTAACTTCGCCTTTCTATTGTATTGAAAACTTCAATCAATAAAAATCTATAAGTGTAATGCCCAGTTTCCGAAAGGCCAATCAAAGCAGCAATCACATAACACTATGTCAAAAATGATCAGCTGTTAATCTCTTGTTAAACTGCCTTAGGTTTCTGGAAGGTTTGTTCAAGAAAAATTAGCTAATCACTGTATAACCAATGATAATGAATGAAATGACTGATTTACTTCAACTACTCTTTCTATTGTATAGCTGTCCCTCTTTAAACAAAACTTAACGTCATTATCCAGTGCTGTCACCGTGTGATTGCCAACGTAAAAATCAGAGTTATAATAAAATTTAATTTATATAAATACATGCAAAATGTCAAGAAAAAACTTTACAGAACGTGAAAAAAATAAACTTTTATCCATAATAAACAAGTAAGTATTATAAAAAGAAAGAATCCATATTATTTATTAACTTTTGAATTGCATTTTTTATTTTTTCTAATCGCATGATATTTTCGCATAATAATAAATAATAAACAGGTAATAGAACACATGGATTTCCTTACGACGTATTAGGGAATTATGATTATTTTTAATAAAAACTAAGATTTTTGATAAAATACATTTTTAACCAACGATTGATCGTCCAAATTGACAGATTACTTAATAAAACTTTTGACAGCTCGTTGATCACCGAAAAATGCTTTCAGAAACTCGATTTTCTGTTGATTGTCCGTTAATCAGTGACTAATTGCAAATCAAAATCAATGTTGTTTTCAGACGTTCTAGCAACTCAGATCATGTTAAACAACGTTTGACAAGAGATTTATCGTAAATTAAAATTGATTGCGCTTTCGGAAACTGGGTGTAAGCTGCTCTCATAAAATCCGTCTAAAATAAAAATAAACTTTCCGCTCTCTACATAAATATCTGCATTGGATGGATGCGTATTCTAAGCAAGACCTGTTGTGTTGTCAATTACTTATTTTCATTTACAAACACCATCAAAGCGCCAGCATACTCTTTCCTAAAAGGCCGGCAATACATTTGTAAGCCCTCGGGTGTTACAGGTGTTCATGGACGGCGGTGATCACTGACCATCAGGTAAGACTCCTGCTCGTTTACCCCTTTTCTTCGTAAGAAAAAATTCTTTCCTATGGAATTGACTTTATGCTCTTACTGATTTAGTATGTTTAACTAAAATGTGAGTTTTTATACATAAATGACCCTTTCAGCGTTGTGCCGATCGATTTATTAATCCTAAAACCGTTTTCCGCCTACGGCCACTTACACTTGCCGGCCAGCATTAAAGCAATGACAAGTTTCCAATAAGCTATACATATAACACGTCGATATTGAATTTCTAACAGTGGTAGGCCACGCAACACTTTCGACTGTTGCACAAATGGGCAGGCTCATCCGGGGAAGTACCACGGCCTCACAGAAAAACAGCGTGAATCGGAAGCTTTCGTGTTTCGTTCGGTGAGTGAGCTAACCGGATCCTACTTATTTTAAAGGTTGACAGTGCATCTTCAAGCCCTCGTGTGTTGTAGGTGTATGCTGTAGTGATCACTCAACATCAGGTAAACCGCCTGCTCGCTTGACAACCTTTCACATTTAAAAAAACACCGTCTGCATACCTTTGAACTTCAGTCCGGCTGGATCTCCGTCGAAATCACTCGGGGTCTCCTTCCGGCTCCACTCGTACTTGTTGTAGTACTTGTCGGGGTTGAGGAGGTGGCGCGTGGACTTGGACGCGGCGCCGTCGTCCTGCTGCGTGAACTGGATCGGCGAGGAGGGCCGCGGCGGGCCCACCGTTCCCGCCACCTCGTGCAGCTTGCACGGCCCGAACGCCTGCACCACTATGTCCTCTTGCGTGCGACACGCCTGCAGTTTCAGGTGGCACTCCGACTCGTACGTCTTGCCGTCGCTGCCGCATACCTGTTGGTTTCGCCGGGTTACCTTAGCTAAGTGCCCGCCCGCACGGAACCTGACGTGGTCGCGCGTAGTATTCGCGCGGGATGCGAATTACTTTATTGCCGCTAATGCCATACGTTTCGGGTGATTTGGTTATGGAGTTGCAAATTATTCCGGACGTATTACGGGCTCATGAATAAATTTCGTATTTAATGCATATACCTTTAAATTTTATCATTCCATTATTACATTTATAAATGTTGTAGGTTAAATAAAAAGCTACTACTACAAACGTTTATGAGACCTATAATAATAATCAAATAAAACCCATAAAAATTTTATCGATACATTAAAAAGCGCTCAACATGACATTATCTTCTCACGAGTTTGCGTCTTTGTTGGCTAAAATATAAACTCTTATACTGATGAGAAGCAACATTCCAAATTACATTATTGAAAATTGTGTCTGCATTTGCTAAGTAGACGAACTGAGACGGAAACAGACAATTTCGGTGGTAACTAAAGAGCAATGTATGACATATTAGAAAAATACTAAAAATGTTACTACTAATTCAAATCGTATTAATCATTATTATAATATACGTCACGAAACTGTGCGCATTTTTTCATATTCCCTATAGTTATTTATTATACAAATAATAATACATTATTACTTCTTTTATACATTACTATTATAATAATAAAATTTACGATCATTGGTAACAGTTTTATGCAAACCGATAATATGATAAACGGATAAATAAGTGATTTTAGACTTGTATAAATACGATGTTATAACTGTATGTATATAAAATCATTATTTATTGAAACACCATTATTATCATCCAATACGTCATCTTCACATTTCTACTACAAGTCACTACAGGCAATTTAACGTTACCTTACATTCAATGATATTCGCGCTTTGGGCTCTAATCAAGTAATCAATAAACGATTTTGTTTCTTGCTTCGCGCCATTTTTAGGGTTCCGTACACAAAGGGTAAAACGGAACTCTATGACTAAGACTTCGCTGTCTGTCTGTCCGTCTGTCACCAGATTGTATCTCATGAACCATAGTTAGATAGTTAGACAGGTTAAATTTTCACAGATAATATATTTCTGTAGCCACTCTAACAAATACTAAAAAGCAGGATAAAAAAATACTTGAGTACGCTGCTTATGCTCCCATAAAAAAGACAGAATTTTTTTGCCGTTTTTATAGATAATGGTACAGAAACCTCCGTGCGCGAGTCCGACTCGCAATTGGCCGGTTTTTTTTAAGATGACTTCATGTAATGCTAGACAAAGATGGTTTAATAATACATGGTCATCTTCCTAGTTACTACATACAAATTCAAAATTGCCATCAAAATTTTAATTTTTCATGAATTGGTGTTCCGAGTCTAAACATGTAAACTCAATTATCCAAAGTATAGCACTTTGATCCGTGAATCTTCATGTTTGTGCAACCTTTGACACTGCTATTTATTTCATAGAACGGAAATTGTTTATTATAAAATGTATATAAAGAAACGTTTTGACATCTAACATGTTAATATACATAATTATGTGAGACTCTCAAAGCATCACCGAGATTCTTAGTAAATAGTCAGCGCTATTGCTTTAAGCAACAAGATAGCTAGAGTCGTTTTATCGAAATTTAAATGGAACATAAGTATCTATTTTACTGTCTTCGAATAGCGACCCCTGTCGAAGCAAATCCTGGTGAAGGGAATTGGATAGTTTTTCAAAAATTATCAAAGTTCCCATTGCGGTGATAATCGCTCGATCATTCGTAGCCACTTTATAGAAACCCAAAGACCGGTGATATCCAATAAAGGGTAATACTCACGAGCATGTTAGTATCGGTGTCGGGGCAGGGCGCGGCCGCACACTCGCAAAGCGCGCCGCCCGTGCGCTCAGTGCACACCGCGCCGAAATAACACGACAGCTCCGCACACGAGCCAACCGCGCTGCCAATTTCGGCTAAACAAACGCACGACTTTAGTCGCCCACCGTACGCAACGTAACGCAGAAAGGAATGCATACAACATGCATCCGCCGCTAGTAACTTACATTAACATAAATAACATTAAAGTAAAAAAAGTAAAGTATCAGCCTATACATGTCTCACTGCTGGGCAAAGGTCCCCTATGTACAGAGGGTATCAGGGTATATATATATAGGGTATATATAGTCACATATCTTCGAAATATTTTTTTTTTATTATTTCGAAAATATGCAGGTTTCCTCACGATGTTTTCCTTCACCGCGGAGCACGTGATAAGTCAGCACTTAAAGTTAAAAACTTCATTGGTGCCGGCACCGGGGATCGAACTCAGGTTGCTCGAGTATATTGAATTAAAGGCGGGCGCCCGGACACTGAGCTATCAAAAGACTCAAAATAACATTAAGCTTCTAAGAAACAATTGCAGTTATAACCGTTAGGAACAAAACAAAGGTAACATTTCAAAAATGGCTACATAACAGGGTAACACAAAAACATGTCTTTGCGGCTTTTAGTTTTCGGGATTGCAGTGAAGAAACTCCCGTTTGTATAGTTTACAATAATTATACCATTTTATTCATCATTAGTTAGTAATTATATAATAAATTTCAGAGAGAATAATATTTAATCGGGCATTAATTATTGTCCCAAGTTGGAATGTTTCTGTCGGTGAATTTTCATGTTTGTGAAACCTTTGACTCTTGATTTATTTCATTTTAAACATTGCCCATACTCTAGAATAACATTATCAGGTATTCTAAAAACGTTTTACATACATAAATTTTAAGTGGATAAACACCCAGATCCGAAACACTGTAGGACCACGCAACAGTGTTTGCTGATGCACGAATAGGCAGGTCCATCCCGGTTTGAACCACGACCTCACAGAAGACCGGGGTGGAGTAGAAATGTTACACTTCTGCGTTTCGTCTAGTGAGTAATGTAGCCGGGGCCCACTTTATTAAAAAGTGCCAACGTATCTCCAACCGGGTGTTGCAAATTTAGATTGGCGGCGGTTATCACTTTACATCCGGTGAACGCGCCAGCTCGTTTGCCATTTTGCACATAAAAAAGTCAATTATTTGCCGGTCACACAAATAGTTATCCCGTGCGGGACTCGAACTCAAAACCTCCGGCGCCGAAGCCAATACCTTGGCGAATGCGCCACGCGGTCACCAATAAGTCTACACTTACGATCCGAGCATCCGTTCGGCCCCAAGCGGCGGCGGTGATCGGCGCAGACTGTGCACTTTTGACCCTGAACGCCCGCACGACACACGCAGCGTCCAGTCATTTGCTCGCAGTCCTCCCTCACCGATCCGAAAGCAGAGCAGCCGCACGCTTAAACAAACAGGCTCTTCGAAATGCGGCAACTCATCTGCTACGGAACGTCTGTTGTAGATCGCCATGGGCGGCAGCTATCACTTGACATCAGTTGGACCGTCGGTTTACTTGCCACCTTCTCGCGTATAAAATGATGGCCCAAATATAGAATCAGTAGCGACAAGTACTTTAATTTGCTTTTGACATTATACTTCTTTTGGTGCGTTTGAAAAAAGAATGGGAGTAACATCTTTACGCTGCGCGCACACACCGACGGCGACATGATGAAGTTGGTTGTAAAGCGACTAACTCCACGGTATACAAAGAGTACGGGCACAGTTCACAAAATTTTCAGTTACTTTTCTTTTGTTGCGCTAAAGAAATATACCTTCTAATGTCGGTATATGAGCACACACATAGTTTTTTTTTTAACTCTAAAACCATTAGATTATCTACATACATAGATATCGGTAAGAAAAAGACAAATGACATTTAAAAGGTACAGTAAATTATAAAAATTAAATTGTAGTCATGAAGACTGAACAATATAACAAATTAAAAAAACACTACGAAATATTTCAATACATATAAATTTAAAATAGAATAGTGGAATTTACTCAAAGCACCAACACCGCAATTAAATGAGAAGTACTCACGGATGCAGCCGGTGTGCCCCGAGCCGATGCGAGGCAGCCCCCAGTATCCGGGCTCGCATCTGTCGCATTTGAGGCCCCCGACGCCCGGGCGGCATACACACTGGCCGCTATCGTCGCATCGATCGGACACTGAGCCGAGCCGGTTGCAGCCGCAATTGGACCCGGAGCTAGGGCAGCCCTCCTCGTTAGGGCCGCCTGCCGACGTCACGCCGTCCGCGCAACAGCCGAACTCCGTTTCGGAACAGACCAGCGGCCTCCTCTCCTCCGTTTGTTTCGTGTCATCTGCAACACACGCCTACGTCAGCGACGGTCACCTTTGTGCGTACAATGAATAGGAGTTAATTGTTTTCGATGGGTAGTAAATAAATATTTCAGGAAATGTTATAACGTTGTAACAACGTTATCTAGGACCAAACTAAGCAAAGCTAGTATTACCACTAGTGAGTTCTTGTGATAAACATACTGTTCTTTTGTAAAACATTTTTTTTATAAATCCATACAGTTATAAAAATGGTAAGTAACACTTAAATTATTTAACTCCGTAGAAGGAAATAAAGTTGCAATGAAGGAACAGTTTCAAGTTTATTAATGTAGTCACACATACGGATAAGCTTAAGAAAAAACTAGTGCTCCTACAGGTTCGCTTTTAAATTAATATCGAATAAAGAAGTAAAATTATGCTCTCGATATAATATGAAAACCAAACATGAAGTTTCCAATAAAATCTACCCTATTTCGCGATTAAACTACGACTGCAAAAATTCATATCCATGCTCTGTGGCAGCATGAAGAAAGGTAAAACAACATACACACATTAAAACAACAAACACATACTATCATTCGATATGATATTATGTTAAATATAGAGAGTTATATACGCGTTAAAGTATATGAACCATTTTAACAGTCTACCTTAAGCACTATGTAGCATAAAAATGATTTTGTTCGCATTCATAAACAGTTTTACTCACTTTTAGGGCAGCACCTAGCAGCTGCAATAGTTATGTGGCAATAACTCCCAGCGGGGCAATCCTGGCGGTGGGGTCCGTTGCCGCAGTCGATTTCCAAGCCGGTCGTGAGGTCGATCATAGCTTTGTTGTTGCCGCAGGGCCTCACTTCCATACCTAAGATAATAGACACACTCAAATCCAATCCACAAAACGCAACCCACACCTACACACATATCCGACTTCGATCTAACTATTACAATACTAGACATGCACATCTCACCTTTGCACAAGTCCAACGGCCTCAGCCGGAGCTCGAGCTGTTTTTGGCAGCCCTCCTTACGCATAGCGCACAGGCTGGGGTAAAGTCTGAAGTCTGAAGCGCACACGGGAAAGTACTCGTCGTCAGGGGGGCATTCGAAGAGGCAGGAGCACCGCGGGTACCCATCGCCGCCCAGCTCGCAGCTGGCGCCAAAGTCGCAACGGATGTCGCGGCAAACGGAGGGGTCCACCGTACCCTCTTCGTCCGTCGCGCCCGAATTGTCCGTCCACCCCCCGCCCGCCTGCGTGGTCGTCATCGCGGTCGTAGCTACCCGCGCCCGCCCAAATGTTTGCGTGTTAGCCGTGCGATAAAGCGGAAAGTTAGTTAATTGATCGAGGATGGGTCCACTGTATTGGAATTGCGGCTAACAACCGTGCCCCGCGTGTCTACAGTTAACATTTTGCTTGTAATAAATTTCCGTCAATGAGGGCTTTGTTGACCCTTGTTTTTGGAAACACATCAAAACAGAACTTACATGGGTTATAACCGTTAGCATTTAAATGTATAATTTTCCTTAGCGCCCATTCTCGATTGAGATATATATTAGAATTATTATTAATATTAGACTCACTTAGTTAAATATGAGCAACAATACAAGTTTTTAAAAATTCCCACGCCAAATTATTAGTTAAGAGAAAAGAACAGTAAGTTAGAAACAAAAGATAATTCGTAAGTAATACGCACTCATTGCTATCGGCGGCACCACAGCGAGCCGGTCCTTGCAATCTCCGTAGAAAATAACATGCAGTGTGGTTGGTGGCAGCAGTCTGCATGCAGCTTTTTGAAGCTCGCACTCATTAGGATATGTCTGCATAGTGCTTCCACATACTGGCTCATGAGGAGCATCTGTGCAGTCGGTAGGACATAAGCACTCCCCAGCAACACAGTGGGCTCCATATGAACAGCGCACGTTATCGCAAAGTGCTGCAATAGACATTAAATCTTAAGCAAATTAATAAGAAACTTTAATTTAAACTAATAGAAGATTGCGATTTCGTTGGTAATTTCATGCAGATCTTCCGACATGTTTAAAAATATTTTATTAGTTGTAAGTTACTAAACTTCATAGTTTCTACAACTTCGTGGACTCTATAAAGTTTAATATAGTCAACTACCAGTACTTCAATGTTTTATTGTGACGCCACAAACAAACTTGTAATAAGAAAATTTTATTTGGGCAAATTGAACTGCGGTAATATAGGTTAAAACAATTTGAAAACACCTTTCAAAACTTTGTTTTTCTTTCATTCTGGAGGAGCGAAATTACATTTGTTCTCTTTTCCGCGATGAGGGCTAAGAGAAGACATCCGTGAAAATTTAATAACGATTGTTTACCACTTCTCCGCAAAATGAAAGCCTTGTGGAAGCGGTCGATTACTGCCGGACGAGAAACATAAAATGCTCTCGCCAGTATTAAAATTCATTTTTTGTCGAGACTCACGGAATATGAAATAAGTCGTTAATTAAAAATTTCAAATACGTTCTTTGTTTAAACATTAAAACTTTCATTTGGCAACGTTGAAATTTTTCAAAAGTGATGTCGCGTTTCTCGTTTAGATTACTTTAGGAGTTTTTTTTATTTTTAAAGTACTTTTTAATAAAATTTTTAATTTAAAGCGAAGTTTTACATACAACGTTTGACTCTAAAAGTGGGGTGAAAATGGTAAAATACTATGTGCAGTTATAATATGAGTTCACGTATTAGAAATGTTTAAAGGCATTTGATTGCACGAGTTAAAAAATGAATAATATTGCGTTTTTGTAACATTTTTAATAGAGGATTTAGCAGGCTTTTCGTTCTTTTAATGGGTTGTGACCAAATACAAAGTTAAGGATTCGGAGAATTCTCCATAACAAAACTTTGTATGATTATATCTTATGTCGATAAAATAATACAGTAAGACCTTTTACCAATTATCAATTATAGCTACGACTGAAATACGTTAACTTTGGTTGTTTCATTATTCAGTTTAATAGCAATTTAATTCCCCTTAAAATTGGTAGTCCCCTTTGTCGTGATTTCTATTTACTAGGTGTCCTTAAACGAAATAAAGGTCAAATGTGGGCATAGAATTTTCACAATGAATTTTATGTAATTGTATGTTTTACGTGCTTCACAAACGAATTTCCAATACGGGCAGTTCTAATTTATTTTATTTCATCCGTTTGTTGAATCAATGACGCTTTTATCAAACAGACAACTAGTAATTAAAATTGGGCGTTCGGTATTCGAATAAAAGCTTATTGTTAGCCCAAGCACTTTTGCTTAATTCTCTTCCTAAATGGTGCCCTGTGAACCTTTTCACCTTCTCCTTTGTGTGTTTGATAATACTCCTTCAATGTATGAATATAATTCTACTGTATTATAATTGAATTATTCAGATGCGCTATATGAGATAATCTCAACTTCGTCATTTAAAACAATAGGTTTTAGTCACAACTGAGCTTTAATGCTACAATACGAATAACGTTACATCTTTTCGAAAATCATGTCCTACATTTACAGTTCTAATAGATCAATTAATTGCCATCCTGTGTCAATTAGCTATTAAATCAAACATTATCCGAAATGTCAAATTAAGAAAAATAGACACTTCAAAACGTAGTGAGCAACGCAGTAATGCATCGTAGTGCAACATTCAATTGGTGAAGCCAAATAACTTCCCTGATCTCATTCGAAACTATTTCATTCGAAACTCAAATATTGTCTACGTTGAGAAGGTTCGTTATAATAAAGCTGATGTACTTACCGCAATCACCTCTGTAAGCAAGCCGCAAGTTGTTCTGTTCGCGACATGCCGTCGAGTCTAGTTCGCATTGCGACGTGTAGGTTTGCCCGTCTGTGCCACATACAACATCCGATTCCTGTTGTTAAATTGAACATGTTAGGTAGTTATATAACAGCAACATATAAGTTGACAATAGTTAATTTCTAAAATGATATCCATCCTTCATATTAACGGTGACTAATGAAGATTAAGTTAATAAAATTTTGTTTCGATATTTTCTTAATAAATGGGAATTATCTCGAAATCTTGCTAACATAATGAGCTCTCGCATACATAATATGAACGTATATGCATAACTCATGACTACTGTTGAATTGATTACGTTGACGGATGAATTTAAAATAATAAATATGAATTAGGGAAAAACATACGCCACTGCGGCAATTCATCTTAGACAGTGTTACCTGGGCTTCAGTGCAGTTGTGATTGCAACGACAGATTGGTCGGCCAGTATCAACGTCAAAGACGCAGTCTCCTCCCCCTTGGCATATGATGTCGGCGCAAGTTTCTGAAGAAAAATATACTATTACATGTACCATAAAGTTATCTTAATTATGTCTAGACAAAAATTAGACTCCGATGAGTATAACTTAATTACAGTACATGAAATTTTATTACGGATAACCGCTGACGTCCAACTTGTTTGCAACGAGCTTGCACGGAGAACTGTAAGTTTTGGCTTAGCTTAAGATTATATAAAATATAAATGTTTACACACGTATGAACAGTCCAGAGGACTAGATATCAAACATATCAGGTATCATCAATGAATTTTAAAATTTCAGATTGAACAAATGGGTTTTAGATGCATTATTATGCATTTAAAGTTTAGGATTATGGTCGAATTCCAACCGATGGATGGTTAGGTATTTGCTGGTTTGTACGTTTTTAGAAAATAAGTATGACCTCAAAAAAGAGACGTTGTAAAATATAATAAATACCACGATTAAAATCTATTAACAGGCAAAGACCTACTGTAAAGAGGGTATTAGGGCATAGTCCGCCACGCGACCCCACTGCGGATTGGCCGACTTCACAATATATATCACCGAATAATTTTTTTGTATTTTATTTCTAAGATATGCATGCTTCCTATAACAATAATAATCCACCAAAAGGAATTTAGTAATTACGATATTAGTATAATTTTGCAACTCATCATATTTTGCTATTTAAATATGCGTGACAGGAGAATATGTTCGAAGCAATACAAGATGCGAGCGAGTTTCTGTTAGAAAATGCATAGCGACAGTAAGTAAAGAAGCAATAGTAAAAATTTAAATTTCATTTGTTCTTGTTGTAGTTAAATATGTTGCTAATTAATTTTCGACTAACTCTGTCAATGTGATTCTCGTCAAATACGACACAAATTGATTCTCAGTTGGTTTTTGTTATATTGGGAATAGTATAAATATCATTAATGCGTGTCTAGCATCGTTCTCGAAGGGCAACCTTTAATTGACATATCATCACGTCACAAAGCCCAAAATAAATGTAAAACGCCAAGTTCAAACATAATTTATTAGTGTGTATGAGAAACCTTGTAGTATGTTTGTGAAATTACAAAGGGGAAATGAAATTCAATTAAAAGAAATATCCTTACATTAGATATTAAAAACAAACCGTCAAGAGTGTTTTTAAATTTCTGTTATCTCTGTTTTAGGATTAAACGTTACAAAAATTAACTTTGAATATGGCTTTTGTATAAATGTATATAGAAACCGTTTATTATTAATTATAAACCGAAGCGGTTTCCGCATCAGATATTACTAAATATCAGTAATATGCATAATATTGAGAAGAAATCATTTGTAGTTTTCCATTAAAATTTGTGCAAAGTGATGATTTGGTAGCAATTTATTTTTGCTACCAAATGGATCAATCAATAAAATACATAAAATTAATTGAGCAGAAGAGGAATACATATAGTACGGGACTTTACCCGTATTGTATGTATTCCTTTTTGGAATTAATATAAGCATGAATACTGCCATATACTGTTTTATTAAATTAAATGAATTATAATACAACTAGCGACCCACCCCGGGTTCGCACGCGTGCAATGTATAATAAACCTTCATTTTGAATAACTCTATCTAATAAAAAAAAACGCATCAAGACGCGTTGCGTAGGTTTCAAGATTGAAGCATACATAGGGACAGACAGACAGCGGGATGACTTTGTTTTATACTATATATATATATATATATATATATATATATATATATATATATATATATATATATATATATATATATATATATATATATATATATATATATATATATATATATGTGTGTGTGTGTGTATGTGTAAATTAGTTTTTATCAATGAAAGTTATCTTATTTTGAAAAATAACGTTTTTAATTCTACATCGCTATCTTTAATTTAAACAAATTGTCTATAGATCGAATAATCTTTATAAGAAATTTTTTAGTGAAAGTTTTATATAAACACATAAACTTATATATTTTTCGTCAATACCGGCTAACATAAGGTTTTAAATTGAGTTTTTAATCGTTAAATATTAAGAAGGATTATAAAAGTTACGACATGACTTAACTGCAAAACCAAAAACACCTTTGAGAAATAATATTTCTCTGAATAATAATAATAATATACTTCGCAGATATGTTCTTTATTCATAAAAGAAGTAATTCTGAAATTGAGGCAAAATTCTGAAACCACGCAAAACGTGTTTTATAAACGTGAAATAAGCATTTGCTGTTACGACGTCGGCATTTCCTACGCATTTTATTGACAACTTTATAAAAGAAAAAGATTTTTCATCACGGGAAATTGGTAGCGATTTCTCGTGAAAAGGGAATTTTATAATTGATTTTGTCTCTCGTTTATATTCACCACAGCAGGAATGCCATTTAATCTTAAGCCTTGAATGTTTTATGAAATAAAATTCTGTAGGCATAAATATTATAATGCCATAGATTGCGCTCCATACGCAGCTCCGACATCCAATATTATCTTTTGAACAGATGGTAGTCATGTATGTAATGGAGATTGTAATAACGACAAAATTTGTAAGCATATCGACAAAGTGGATATTCCGTATTAACTATTTTCTTCTCCTCTTGATAAAGACAAAAATCAATATATTGGAATTTTTTCGTGAATTTAAATAACAAAGCAAATATTATATCATAGTACTTAACGTTTGTTTGAAATACAAAATTATTTTTGCAATTAACAAAATTTCTTTTAAACCAACCGGTCTGTTGTTGTCAATTTATTATAAAAAAAACTTTATTTATTTAAAACACTACCAATGTACCTCTTAGCCTTTTCTTCTACATTTATACGAAAATGCATGCTTTTTTCAGTTCTTATTTTTTTCCTTGTGCTACTGACGTTGCATTCTAACATTTAATGTTTGAGGGTTCCAACAAAAGACATAAAATAGGAAACGCTCTATAGTGGGAAAAATTGTGGACCCAACGAATTTTGCAAAACTAGGGACACAGCAAGTTAAACTTTATGTAACTCGACACACTATAGAAAGAAGTGTATTATTTGTTTACTACTACAATCAATACACTATAACATATACTATAAAGTCACACCAGCTCGGAAGATACATAAATAATATACCTATAACATTAATAAGAATGAAAAAAGAACAAAAACTGTTATTTCAGTTTTAATATCTATTACCAGGCAATTTAGTTGACAAACTAAATTAAATGAACAATCCATAATCAATCATCAATAAAATCCTTTCTGCAAAACTTCAAAAAAACAGTCTTCGTTTAACCTACGGATAATTTTTTTATATTTATTTTTCCATTATCGTGGAAGGTCCATTCCGTACTCAAAGGGAAAAACGGGACCCTATTAATAAGACTTTGCTGTCTGTCTGTCCATCTGTCATCAGACCAGGCTGTATCTAATGAACTGTCATAGTTACACAGTTGAAATTTTCACAGGTGATGTATTTCTGTTGCCGCAATAACAACAAATATTATAAAACAGAATGAAAAACATTTAAGTGGGGCTCCCATAGAAGAGACATGATTTTTTTGCCTTTTTTATTGATATGAAATCTTTCGAGCGCGAGTCCGACTCGCACTTGGCCGGTTTTTAAAATAACATATACAAAATTGTAAGCTATAAATTCATCAGTACCCTGGAAACTACAAGTGTAGAGCAAGAGTCATTTCCCCGCATCGAAAGCATGTTAACAATAAAAATTATGTTAGAAGTACGAAGAACTCACGACACGTTCCGTTGTAGAGGACTTGCAGTTCGCTCTCCCTGATGTTGTTCTGGCAGGCGTGCATGCGCATCTTGCATTCGCTGCCGTACGTGTTGTGGTCGGAGGCGCATACCGGCGCTAGGGTCGCGTCGCAAACTGGGCACACGCACTGAGCGGCGCCGCTGCGGGAGACGCAAGCGCCCCCCCACGGGCAGTTCGCGCGGGCGCAAGGGTTCTCCACGCCTACACATACGAACACGGCTGTCCCCTGACTTGTTGACGGCGACTGACTGATCAAGGTGTTGGATTAGGCGCGAGGGGTCATGGATTCGTACGGTGACTGACTAGCCAAGGTGTTGACTTTGGCGCGAGAGCTCATGGATTCCCGCCGATACATACGAGCACCAGCTGTGTTCCCCGACTTGTTGACAGTGTCTGATTTGCCAAGGTATTGGCTTTGGCGCTAGGGCTCAGAGATTCGTACGGTGACCGACTAGCCAAGGTGTTGGCTTTGGCGGGAGAGGTCATGGACTACTATTTGTGTGACCTAAAGTTTATTGTTTCGGATCTGGATGTTTGTTAATGTGAATTTATGTTTGTAAACTGTCCTAAGAGCACGCGATAATGTTATCCTTCAGTTAGGGGCAATGTTTTCTAAAAAAGTGCCGCCGCGCCCGGTGATCAGAGTAGGAGAGATCATGTATTTTCGCTAATCTCTAAATAATATGTTTACAATGTTCCCAATACATGTGATCTATCCCTTTAGTCTAACAATGAAAATAGCGTATCAAAGCAAGTTCTATTCAACCTACCGCATGGACCCATGTAAGCCAGACGTATGTCCCTGTTGTCCAGGCAAGAGGCGCGGTCGAGGGAACACGGATTGTCATAGGTGCGGCCGTCAGTACCGCACACTGGCCGAACGAAGTCTTCGCACTCAGGGCCGCACGCACACACGGCCACCCCACGCACGTCCAGCGAACATCGTTCGCGTACGCCACACTTCACCGTCTCGCAAGGATGTTGAGCTATTAGTGAAAATGTATATTCAATTACGGAGATGTCAACTCACTCTCAATTTAAAAATAGAATTATGGAACAACCAAGAGGCCAAGAAAACCGACTATGTGAAGTAAAGTATATATATAAGTATGTACAAATAAAGTAGTAGTATGTACAAAAGGTTGTTCTTTTTGGCGCTGTAATGATCAAACGCATGGGCCGATTTTGATTATTTTTACTTCATCGAAATGTCTAAAATCTTGAGTGTGTTGTCGTGACAGTAATCAGAATTCATTATGGTGACTACCAGATCAAGCTATAACAGAGTATAGAAAAATGTTTAATTTAAATAGCATATGTTTTAGCTATTATGCTGACAGATTTTTTTAAGTATTAATTCTTATTTAATTTTTTTTACTAGCTTTATTACCAATCACTTTCTCTTAAATTTAAGACTAAGGAATTTTAATCAGGCATAACAAGAAATTCTCGCAAAGCCAACAATTTACTCTACAATTTTTGCAACATCATATTTTTATTTAAAAATATTTACTCGTGATATTTTGCAATTACTTAAATGCGAGCGCTCTTGCTGTAATGGATTTATGGCCGAAAGTTTACGGATAAAATATGATACGACAACTCTCCGGATGATAAGTTAATAACACTACAAAATTGAATTATTTCGCGCCTGTCGCAATTCCTGAGAGAGACGACGCTTCGATGCTCGTGTCCAATTACTTTATTTAGAACAAAATATCTCACGGCGCGAATGTCGATAGCGGTGTACTTTACAGTTTCGAAAGCATATACATACATTCATATGTAATACATAAATATATAATAATCAGTTTGCTTTCAGTAGCTTTTATTTTAAATTATTTAGTTCAATGTAGCAACATTTATAAAACTTATCAAGGTAGACCAAGATTTCGGACTTTTGAAAGAAAATACACAAAATCCAATAAATGCTTTCACAATGCCTATAAAGTGCCGGCCCCTAACTTCATTCAGGGCTCTTTTCATTATTATTGATTTGTATATAAAAGTTTAGAATTGTACATAAACGAGAATAATCACAATTGTATGTTTTTCTACGGGCCATAATCTTTAGCATGAGAGAAGTTCGAAAAGGGGAATCTCGGGTAACAAACTACTACATTATCGTTTTTAACCCTTACACCACATTTTGATTCTGCTCTCTTTTCCGTTGATCTCTAGCTGTTCATCTGTTTCTTCAAGCTGCGTAAACACTTATACTGTGGCAGGGCCAAGGAAAAGTAACACTTCCTCACAGAAGACTTTTTTATGTGAGAAGTTGGCTAGTGAGCTGGCAAATCACCTAATGTTAAGTGATAATCGCGGCCCGTGAACATTTCTAACACCTGGCTGCAGAATTATTTGCCACCTTATAATAATGTGGGCTCTAGTTACGTCACAAAATACATTAAAAGGAAAACCAATCATTTTATGTCACAAAATAACTAACTTTATTTATTTTACCAACACTGAGGTCGTGGTACTTCCCCGAACGGATCTACCCATTCCTGCAAGAGCGAAGACTAGTTTAAACCAACTTCTTAATGGTTGAAAGCGCATCTGCAACCCGTCAGATGTTGTAAATGTGCATGGGCGGCGGTAATCACTTAGTATCAGGTGGATCGCTTGCTCGCTTGCCAACGTTTCACAAATAAAAATCTTAAGAATGTCTGTGTTTTCCTTTTGTGTCCCGCCGTCCAATCATCTTAAATTGATCGCATGTATTTACCAGAAGCGCATTCTCCTCTGTAGGCGATGGAGAGTTGCTGCCGCGTGCGGCACGCTTCGCGTCGCAGAGCGCACTCGCTGGCGTAGTCCTTGTAATCGGAACCGCAGACCGCGGCACCAGGCCTGGCTACTAGATCGCACGGTGGGCCGCATCGGCACACCGGTGCCCTCGCCTCGTTCAGCTGGCAAACCCCTCCATCAGCGCACTCGTGGTCAGCGCATGGGTCTGCATCAACGACGAATGTTTACGACGAAGCTGATAATTCCTTATCTATGGCAATTCGTAGCTAACATATGCATTACAAACGTTGAGAATGAAAATTATAAAAAAGGCAACATTTATTTATTAAAATATGGCAACCATTAATCCCCGATACCCTAAATTTTTCTGTATAATCTTGTTGTGCCCCACCGCTGGGCAAAAGCGTTCCACCATTTACCCCTCTCTCCTTTATTCATATATATAATATATTAATACTATATCTATATTTCACCACATTAAAATGTTGAATGTTAAGAATGCCACTATTAATTTCTTGTGTTTACGCGAATACCATACAGTGGTAACTAAAACTAATTTAGAGTTTCAAACACTATAGAGCCATGGCCAAGACAGACAGATGGTTACATCCTAATTTCAAATACAATCGGGGCTGTCAATAATCAAGCTATTTATTCTCTTCTAACTGTGCAGTAGGAGCTTACGACATTTACGAGTAAATCAGAAGTTAAAATCAGATCATTAGAAAAATATTTGTACTTCAAAGTCACCCTGCTAACATATAAAGCTCATAAGTTCTCTAACTTTGCGAAGCCACAGCTTTACGGCAATACCCGAGGGCAAGGACCTAGCATGCCTTACGAAATGGAATCGTTCACTTAATGCCACTAAAGCGGCCACCCATTCAGAAACTGAGCTGCACGCACGACAAAACACTAGTGGCTTAGTGGCGTTCCATTTAATTTAATATCACACTAAAAGATTCTATAACGATTCCAACAAACAAAGCATTTTATCAAATGTATTTTAATATTAATTTACATTCGCAACACCTCCTAATTAAATTTCATTACTCATTTCAATACAAATTACCCTTTGCTTAATTATCTTATTTAATGAAATTAAATTAGCTGTTTCTCCGTAGGCCCGCAATATATAAGTTACAATGAACGCTCGAGTATAAATGTTCTTAATACAACCCAACAATATTTTCTTTCCTCCGTATAATGTATAGCCTCACTAACCTAATTTATCGCAACATGTTTTGGGTTGAAAAACTAAGTATGTCTTCCCATCTCGGGGTATTTTATTCGCAAGAGATTCAAAATCCGAAATGAAAACAATTTAATATAAACACAAAAGCAAGATAGTAAAGTAAACAGAGAATTTCACAAAGGAAGTTGAAATGTTCGGGCATTTGGTCTTGCACAAATTTAGTTCAGATCGAATGTTCCGGGACAAGTTTTGTGAAAAGGGTTCGCCTCTCTTACTGAGTATATAAAACAGACTAGATTAAATTACATTTATAAAAAGAAACCAGGAAAACTGATTTGTTGCAAAAATAGACATACTTTCTGATGATAAATATGTGAATGTAAATTTGAAAAATATTAAACCTTAATATTTAATATTAACGTTCTAAAAATTGTCTGTTAAATATTAATTAACGAAGGAAAAATCTGGCCTTATTTTTTATAATTATAAAAGACATAAATGATTGCAAACAAATTAATTAATGAAGAAAATAAAAAGTAATTTGTGTAAAAGTAAATTAATTTAGCACCATCTCTTGGGTACCAAACTGTCACTTGTTTGCTCCATTTCTCCTTTTTCCAGTGGAGCATATGTCCAGTCCACCTCCATTTAATTTGGTCAATACGTGATAGGATGTCTGTTAATTTCGTTTTGCGCCTGATGTCTATACTCCTAACTTTGTCCATTAATTTCAAGCCTAGCATGCTCCTTTCCATACCTTTCTGACATGTTGCTAGTTTGTCCCTATGGCGTTTCGTCAAAGCCCATGTTTCACAGCCATATGTGATGCAGGGTAGGATACAAGTATCAAAAGTCTTTTTCTTGATCGTAATGCTTAGTTCCTTGCTTTTCATGATTTCTTTTAAGGCCCAATATTTTTTCCACCCAAAAGCAATTCTTTTATCTATCTCCTTGGCCATTTGATCATGGAGCGATATTATCTGGCCTAAGTATACGTATTCCTCTACATATTCGAGTTTCTGTCCGTTGATGGTTATATCTATGGGTATTGAGTTTGTCATCATTTTAGTTTTGCTCGAATTAATTTCAAGACCTACTTCTCTACTTCTGTCTGCTAGAGTGTGTATCATGCATTCCAATAGTATTGGGTCCTCTTCCAAAAGAACTAGGTCATCTGCGAATCTCAGATGGCTCAGAGATGGTGCTAGGAGCCGAGGTCGCAAAGCAATAAGGTGGGAGGATGAATTTAAGATGACCTTAGGACCCCTTTGGATAAGAGTAGCGGCAGATAGAGAGCAGTGGAGAGAACTGAAGGAGGCCTTTGCCGTAAGGCACACCGAACCAAGAGATATTATATAAACAAATATGAGGGTAGACTTAGTATTTAATTGTACTTCATAATTATATTTATGTTTTTATTTTTTTGCCATAAATGTAAAAAGTTCGGGAAATAAAGGCTTATTATTATTATTATTATTATTATTTTTTTTATTTTTTAATCTCAGCACATCGCTGGTGGTGTGAACCTATCACGGGCTATGCCAAGTGGGTCGGTTCATTATGTAGTGTTGTAGGTGTTTGAGTGGTGGATGTAAGGAATCGCCGGACTATTGAGCATGTGTCGATAATGACCGATTTCTGTAGTTGAATGTATATATTTTTGTGTAAACCTAGTTCTTTAAGCGATGTAATTAAAGATTTTGGAACTAGTCCTGTGGATGAAACAATGATGGGTACGATTTTAACCGTATGCTGATGCCACATTTGACGTATTTCATCTGCAAGTGGGATGTATTTTTGTATTTTTTCCGTATATTTCTTTCTTATATTTTCAGAATTTGGTATGGATATGTCTATGAGATATGTTACTTTTTCGCTTTTTAGTGTTAGAGTAATATCTGGTCTATTATTGGTGATAGTTTTATCGGTTATTATATCGCGGTCCCAATAAAGTTTTGCTTGTCCGTTATCTAGTATATTTAAAGGTTTATATTTATAATATGGTTCTGCTGTATCTAATAATTTGTATTTTAGTGCTAATATTCGATGTATTTGTTTAGCTACATTATTATGCCGCTCTGTATATTGTTTAGTTGCCAAAAATGAGCAGCCTCCTGTAATGTGGTCTATTGTCTCTTGATTAATGTTACATAACCTGCATTTATCCGATACTACTGCTGGATTCTTAATTATGTACTTCTGATAATTTTTGGTGTTTATAATTTGATCTTGGATTGCAATCATAAAACCTTCTGTTTCTTTGTATATACTTCCCTTACTGAGCCATGCGTTTGATGCTTCTTTATCTATATATTCTTGATATAGTTGATTAGGGTATTTTCCATGAAGAGATTTCTGTTTCCAATTATTAATTTTTTGTTCATCTGTGGCAATTTGTTCAATAACCATATTACTGTCATTTAATTTTAAAGGTGTGCCTGAAGTGGATATTAGTGTGAGAGCTCTGTGTAAGGGACTGTTATTTGCTTTTCTGTGTATGTATGTGCGAATATTGTATATCTGTTTATTGTGAAGATTTTTTATATCGACTACGCCCCTCCCTCCTAATCTTCTCCCTAAGTTAAACCGTTCTATTGCCGAATGGATGTGGTGTATGTTATGTTTATTACAAGTAGTTCGTGTGAGTCTATTTAGTCTATCCAAGTCTGTAGCTGTCCACTTTAAGATTCCGAAAGAATATGTTAAAACTGGCACTGCATATGTATTAATAGCTGTAATTGTATTCCTTCCCGTCAATTCTGTCTTTAGTATTTTATTGAGCCTGTCCATGTATTTTTTAGTTAACTCTTCTTTTATCTTATTATGGTCTAAACCTGTACTTTGTGAATATCCTAAATATTTGTATGTATCTGTTAATTCCATATTATCTATTTGTAGGTTACGTTGTGTTTGTAATATATATGGATCAGTGTCGTAGTGTTTTCCTTTTATTATACTGCTTATTTTGCATTTATCAATTCCAAAGTTCATTTTAATATCTGTACTAAATTGTTCTGTGGCCTTTAAAAGATTATTTATTTGTAGTTTGCTAGCTGCATATAATTTTATATCGTCCATGTAAAGTAGATGTGTAATTTTTGTATCTGTATCTTTGTTTAATATATAGCCCTGTTTACTTCTATTTAATATGCGGGATAATGGATTTAACGCCAGACAAAACCATAGTGGACTTAATGAGTCCCCTTGAAATATACCACGGGCTATCTTTATAGGACTAGAACGGATCGTTCCCGTCGGTGTATTAATATTAAGTATAGTTGTCCATCTTTGCATGGTGTGGTGCAGAAATTCTATTAATTTGCTGTCTATTTTATATATGTTTAGAACCTGTGCTAACCAAGAATGAGGAACACTATCAAATGCCTTTTGATAGTCGATATACGCGAAGTGTAGATTTCTGTGTGTTTGTTTAACTTGATTATGTATTTCTGTATCTATTACTAATTGTTCTTTACAGCCTCTTGAACCTTTTCTACAGCCTTTCTGCTCTTCAGCTATAATATTGTTTTGAATAAGATGCGAGTTGATTTTATGTGAGATGATAGATGTGAGTAATTTGTAAAGTGTTGGTAGGCATGTGATTGGGCGGTATTTAGCTGGGTTTACCGTATCCTCATCCTTTGGTATTAGATAAGTGTTTCCCATGATAAGGAACTTGGGTAAACTGCGTGGATCTTGAATGATAGTATTAAAAGCATTGGCTATGTATTCGTGAGTTGATGAAAAATATTTTAACCAGTAATTTTGAATTTTATCCGGTCCAGGTGTTTTCCCAATTTAGCGTCCTTTTGATTGCTATTTCTATATCTATTTTGTGTATTGTAATTTCTGGCATAGGATCAAAATGTTTTGTTGCTTCAAGTTCTTCCTTAATCCATTCTGCTTCACTATTATGTTCCACAGGTTTTGACCATATATTTCCCCAGAATGTTTGTACTTCTGTTATGCTAGGTGGTTCTTTTATTGTTGGCTTTTCATTGAAATTTCTATAAAATGTTTTCTGGTTATTGCTAAACATTATATTGTCTCTGTGTCTTTGGTTGGATTTTTTATATCTTCGTAGTCTTTTCGCCAATGCTTGCATTTTTTGGGTTTTATTGTCAAGGCTGTCTATTGCTTCTTGTGTATTTTTATAAATTTTACTCATTTTTTTTTGGTTTTTGATTGATAGCTTCTCCTTAATATACTGATTTAATCTTCCTATATCTTTTCTGAGGGCTGCAATCTTAACTTCCAGTCGTCTCTCCCATGCTGGTTTATTGATACTTCTTTTAATCGTTTCTTTTTCGATACTTTTATTGTTGTTACGCTTTTCTGTATTATTGTGTATTGATGTTGCCGTTAATGCTGCGCAGTAAATTATGTCATGTATTTGTTCTATGGATGGTTGTGTAATATTTATTAGTTCGTTATTTATCAGTTGATTCAGCATGTTTACTGTTGTTTTTGACTTACGCGTAATGTTTAGTTTTGGCAGTACAGGTCGTGTAAGGGGATCAGTTCCTACATATTTTGTCAAATGTTCATTAAATAGATGATTACACTTTTGTAGAGTATCAATATCAAGGTTTTCTGGTTCAGTGTCTAATGCTTGTGTTTGCGTTGTAACATTTTGTACGTGTGATAATAGTGTAGATGTATGTAATATGGATGTTCCTGTTGTTTGTGTAATTGGCATTTGGATATCTAATATTTGAAGTACATTGGTTTCTCCAGTTGGTTGGGTTAGATTCGTTTCTTGAATGTCTGTATTTGTCTGGTAAGATTGGCGATTTGTGTCTGTTGTAGTTAAGTGACTGGTTTGATTGGATATTGAAATAGGATCATTTAAAATATTTTGTATTTCTGTCTTAATTATTTCTCTCTCTGTGAGAGAAATTCTGTTATTGCGGTGTATAACCCGTATCTGGTCTGCTAATCGTTGTTGTGAAACGATGTTATGTAGGTCGGGGTAGATAGAGATGAATTTATTGTAAAGTTCTGGGCGATATCCAGTGAGATCAGTTTCGCAATGTGTGACTGTGTAGTAGCAACGGAGTAGTTGTTTGTTAATTTCATCACTCCATTTCATCCGTTGCCGTTGTCTGCCAGCGAGAGTGGTTGCAGGACGCATTTCCTGCAAAGCACTTCTCGTCGTTTCATGTATAGTATTCTGTGTAGGTGTGTCTGTTGTTTCGGCTGTAGTATTTTTTATCGGTGAGAGCCCGCCTGTTCAACTCCTCACCGCTGACGGTTCGCATGCTGAGACACCCAGCGTCAGCTCCAGGTGTGCCCCGACGATCACCCTCGGGAAGCGGCCCTATTCGTTTCCTTTTTCTTTGCGTCTCCATATTTTATGGGTTACCAGTGCCATGTTAGCCGTGCCAGTAATTATTAATCACGTGTCCGCCCCTCACGTGAATCAGATGGTCGATTCGGACGTATGGTTGGATTTGGAGGGGCTTATTATTATTATTATTATTATTATTATTATAAATTAATTTAAATGTTTGCTTGCTCGTACTATACGATTGTTAGAGCTTATTACATTTTTAATTACCATCTTTCCATAGGATAAGGACATAAAAATTAGGATGAAAAAGAACTAACTTAACGTTTTCTTGGGCCTAAACTACCGGGCGGTATTTCGGCACGACCGCGTCATCTAATACGGGCAAAATGAAATGTTGACCCTTTTTGTACTTCGCATCTATTATTAAGGGGCGACCTCTTCTTAACGAGTTCTATTCATGATCTCAAACTCGGGGGCCAACAATACACGGTCAAACGGCCGCTTTAATTAATTCCTATCATTATAAAAGTCTTTTATTAATATCTCTAGCCCCTTTTTTAAGTTATGAGAACATCATCCTACGCAATGTAAGTAAAAATATAAAATATTATCGTCTTCTTTCCGATATATTGAGTAAAACAAAGTCTGTTTTGAACTAAAAGTATAAATGCTTATAAGTAAAAATAGTAAATTAAAGTTACAGCCTACACACGCACCACTGCTGGCCAACGGCTTCCTCTATACAGAAGGCATAAGGGTTTGAATCTATCACGTGACCCTACTGCGGATTGACAGACTTCACATATGTTAGAAATATTTTTTTATAATAATTTCGAAAATATGCAGGTTTCTTAACGATTTTGTCCTTCATCGCTAAGCACTGAGTATGGCAACACTTAAAATTGCAATGAACAATTTTATTGTGGCCGACATCAGAATTTAAACTCATCTGCTGGAGTATATTGCAATAAAAGCAAGCTGCTGGACACTGAACTACCACGGCTCTTATATTTACAATTAACTAACGACCCGCTCCTCTTTCGGTGCAATATAGAAATTGAATTTCACCGTTTTTTTTTTCTCTACTGTAATATGTATCTACTCCGCCTTCAGCAATATAACCATCCGCTTGAATCACTCTATCTATTCCTGAAAATAGCAATAAATCCCTGGCGTAATTTAAAAGATCTAAGCGTACAAACATCGGGAGTGGCTTTGTTTCATACTATGTATAGAAACGTTATAAAATTCTATGATTTTATTTCTCGAGATGCTGTTATCACTCGAACTTAATGAGAATTTCAAATCAATATAATCCTATTAACTTTTGTGTTATTATTGTCTAGATAAGCCAAATAAAAAGTGATTTTGATGTATAGCAAAGGAATGGTACGCACCGCATTTTCCATGATATCTAATAGTAACGTTTAGTTGATTGTCGCATGCGTGCTTGTCCAAGTGGCAGGCCGAGGAGTACTCTTTTCCATCGGTGCCGCAGACCGGCTTGCGCCTTTGACAACTGCGTGGACACCGGCACTCAGCTTGCCCATAGACAACCATGCATCGTGCCCCAGAAGGACAAGTGATTGCAGCGCAGGGGTCACCAGCTTCTAGTGGGAAAGAACTAGTAAGTATATCCTTCGAGCTAGTAAGTGTATTTCCATGATAGCCTCCACAGTTTAAAAGTTTACTTCCAATTGATTTGACACGAATAATTAGTATTCTATACGTCGAGATACAGGGTTTACTCGTAAGGAATTAAAAAAAGAATTTTAATTGCATAAATTTTAACGACTTTCGTTAACATAGGTATAGAATATCGATTTTAGTAATTAATTTTATTTTAATTGCTAGTATCTGCATTTAAGATGATTATTGGTTAATATTTGAATGTTAATACGAGTAGTACTTTTAAAATTAACCGTTTAATACATACTTGGATTAAATATAAATTTGACAATAAAATAAAAACTTCGAAACATTCCTCTTCTTCCTCATACTAGTATTGTATCTAACAAACGGGAACATCCAAACGGGATGAGAGGAAAAGCAAAAGAGTAACTGAAGAGAAAAAACGTTTGATAAATAATAATCCTTTCACCCGCTGTACTGACCGCATTCGCCCTCGTGTTTGACGCGCAGATTGAGTCTTCGCTCGCACGCCTCCTTTCGTAGGTAGCAGTGATTGCGGTAAGTGCGGCCCGTGGTCGAGCAGACTGGAGTCTGGGTGGAGGGACATGTCACTGGGCAGGCGCAGTGCGCCCGACCGTCCCCCAAAGACACGCACTCGGCGCCCCAGCGGCAAAACGTTTTCTCGCAAGCCTCTGCAAAACGACCGTCATTGTTCGACCACTGAACTTCTTCGAGACAAGAACAAATCTTCACTACCGCTATATCGATATTGATCTTGGCGATGCCAAACTTAAGCTTTCCTATAACACTGAGCGTTTTCGAGGCAAGAACAAATCCTTCACCACCGCAATATACCGCCAAACATCACCTTCTGCAGAAAAACGTCACTATCAAAAGCAGAACCTTCAAGACCGCAATATTTGGACAAACATCAGCTTTTTTGCAAAGGAAAGACCACGATTATCCGATAACACTGTGGGTGCCTTCGAGGCTAGGGCCAAGCCCTGCACCACCACCGCAATATCTGCGGGACGACATTCGAGCACCAGCCAATTTGTCATGAATAAAAATTCGGACCGACTCGGATCACGTTTAAAATATGAAGAGCTAATCAACTTGTTACCTTGCTCTCTTGTGGAAGCTAAAAGTGTTTGAAAGGACGTGATTCCTCGGCGAACTGCGAAGAATGACACAATTTCCAATTTTCTACCTGGGAGTACGTATCCGTGACTAAGTTATTAAGGAGGGCTAAAATAAGATGCGAATATCCGCTTCACCACCGCATTGTGTTAGAGCAGGCTTTAGGGATTACCGATCTCTATTGCCTAGTTAAAATTCCAAGCAGAGATTGCTGGGCGCCAAGTCACAAGGAGGCGGTTTAGTAAAGTTAATTTATAATTTTCATCTTGATTCAAAAGAGGTAAATTCGACTGAACACCGTACCCTTACTTAAGATTTTGTGTACAATTTCATTTAATTTTGCTTTTTAATTTACTACTCGATGGAGTGACGAAATTTGAAAATGCGCGGGAAGTCAATGGATGCAGGTGGCTCAGGATCTTCGTATAGTTATTAATATAAAGTCCTTCGAATACTTATATGTATTATTTAACTTTAAGAACCACGTATTCCGTGTGAAATTGCTTTACAATAAGACTTCTATTTCTCGCTTCAAAGGGAATCAGCATTTGAAAATGACGAATTCTGTTAATATTTATTACATTTACCTTTCCAGAAATAAGATCAAACGTCATGCGATTCAGCCGCAAACTCATTTCCTCGACTCCCGTATAAAGGCCCTTGACGAATCCGCTTAACGGAAAGAAAACATTCGGAAATAACAATTTCGGAAGAAACAAAATGTCGGAATTCGAATCGCTGTAGAAGAAGCCCGTGATAAAAGGAAGAGGGTAGATAAAAGAATGGCGGATGCCTTATGAATGAAGCGAAATTAGGATATTCACTGCGCCCCTTTTTCAGATAGGTACGCGCAAACTGCTTAAATTATCTATAAACATCTGTACATAAATTCGTAGTTATGCGGGTAAAAGGTACAAGGGGAGGCAGCCCTCTCTACGCCGCGTTTATTAAACTCAATAAAGCTCGCCAAGGATTTTATATAATATTGCCAAAATAAACCTGACAAACGCCAGTGCCGCTTCATAACTGTAGAAGTTAGGTGGCAATTCAGGAGCCATATGAATCATGCAGCACACACTCCGCATGTCATTATTCACGTTGAAATAAAAGAAAATTAAAACTGGCTGTGAAAATTTTAGTTGCTGTAACTTGTTACTATTACAATGTAATTTAATGGTGGTTTTAATATTTTTTACAGACTACCTTAGTGTACATTCGAAAACGGTTACATTGAAAACGGGTTTCGGTTAATAGAATAGAAGGGACAAATTGCTTCAATGTAGTATTTGTACGATAAAAGGGTTCACATTCAGTGTACAGTGAGTTTGACTTTATAGTACGGACGCTGCCTTCTGAAATCTCCAACAAAGGTTTTTCTGGCTTCAAGGAATTTCAGCCGCAAAATATAAGTGTGCCCAAAAGAAAATTACTTGCGCTTATCTTTTAATTAATACATAATTTATTGTCATTATATTTTCCCAAATGCTGTTTTTATTTTCTTATTAAATATTAAATAAATTGCCAAAACATTTTACTTTGTAAGGGAATTAGGTATTTAATCAAAGGTAGTGAAATAAATTCTTTTAATTATATATATATATATATATTACTATACAATAAAAATGTAATAAAAATGTAAATTTATGTTCTTAAATATCAAACGGATTACATTTTTATTGAGAGCGATATTAGAACAGTATGGTCATTCAACTTCATATTCGTATTAAGCCTAATCTTTGAGATCTAATATTTGGTACTAACTATTCTTACAAAACATTAAGCTTATTTTTATATTCAGAATGAGTTGATTAAAAAGGTTTATATATTTTCTTATGAAAAGTACATTTATTACTCTCATAATACAATTTTATAGAAAAATATTGGATAAAATCATAAATATTATGGATTAATTCAAGATGAGTTACATGAATGCTTCATTATAGGTTAGTTTTATTAAATTATTGTGATACAGAAAAATGCTACACAACTTGTGGATTTATGCCGAACAAAATTTACCTAGTCAACATAAATAAAATTGTCTGGGATGACGGTCCTAATTTTAATCCTAATTCATTATACAACAAAATTTACCTTCCGGGGCAGGTGGCCTTGGTTGATAATGCAAATCTGTAACAATAAAGTTTTATTATAATTAGTTATATTAATTAAGGTATTTGAAAATAGAAAAAAGAAAGGATTTTACACAGTTTTTAGTTTTTCATATTGCAAATTATATTGTGTTTAAATCAATTATATTTTACAATTGTCATATTTTATCACTACTACAGTACTAGCTCACAAGGGTCCTAGGATCTAGTTAGTTAGATTAATCTAAATTTTCATTATAAGATTTTGGAAACACAACTTTAAAACATTTTATTTCGAAAGTCTTAATGTTAATATAATATTATTTTTAATATATTGATATTTTTAAACAGAACAAACGTCAAATTTGTGAGCTTTCAGAAATTTCATCTAAAAACAGATGAAATATCTAAAAAAATGAGAAAATTAAGTCCATAGTGTCCATTCTATTAAACTGTGTTTTAGCGTTCGTTGCAATCGGCTATAATGTAAATACAACAAAAATGAGTCAAAATTTAACCTGTCATCTATAGTATATCAATGAGCCTAAAAGTGTTGTGGTAACTATGTATTTTAATAGTTTTGTTAACGTTGTATCGATAAGAATTGTAAAAATTTTCTTGACTCAATTCAGTTCTTTGAGAGATTTTAATTCCTATAGACTCTTAAACATACACTAGAAATCGATTCGACGCGAAACTACGCCCAGTTATAAATATCAATTTTAAAAAGTTCTGTAACGGCTACTTTCAGGGGCTACTTTTCCTTACAGGGTCAGTCCCTCCACTCCTGTGGAATAAGAAACAAAGGGCGAAAGAGGTATATATTTCAGCACATCAGTGACTTGTGGAATTTTCTAAAAAGTTAGTTGAAGCCTGGCATGTGTTGCAATGCCTTTTTTATCATCAATGACGATTTATATCAATTTATTTATCCTTTCGTTTATTGTGATGATACCTTGTTGAGTTGTTCTGATTATGTAAGAATATCCCTTACCTAAAAATGAAAAAAGGTCTTTCTACTTTATCCTGGATGCAAATTTCGAAAAAAAAAATACGAAGGCATTGCACCGCATGCCAGGCGTTAGCTACTTTTAAATAAAGAAGCAACGGCACCAACAAATCATATTTCTAGTTTCCAAACTTACTCGATTTTACCGTATTGTTACCGAAGGAAATATGTGTTATGATAAAAGACAATTTCAATAAAGAATATAAGTTAAAATTCTATGCATATTATAGATATGTAGACAATTTTGACAATATTTGTGATTATTACAAATAAGACTCTTAAAGAAAAAAAACTACTTATCGAATAACTTGTCAAATTCTTCATATTTAATGAACTGTTCTTTTTAAATGATCGTCTTTATTGTTTAAAACAGTCATAAAAGCAGAAGCAAATTTGTTAAAATGTCCAAATTACAATATTAATGTAAAATATTGCAGAGTTAACCAGGTTTAATGAATTGAAAAGCAAAGAGAACAAAAGCATTAAGTGTTTACGTATGCAGAATAATTATATCAAGCAAATATTTGTTCGTACATGCACGCTACTCGACTGGAAAACAAAAAATTCTCCATGCAATGAACTAAATAAAGATCAAGTTGATCAGAGAACTTTGTACCAGTAATTTTAGATGTTTTTTTTTGTTTTGTATTCTTACAGAAAAAATAATAAAGTAATTCTACAGAAAATATGGTACTGCTGCTACGTTGATATGCTGCTTTATTAATATCCTGAATTTTACGGAGCAAATTGATGAATTAGTGAAATATTGAATTATTGCTAGTATCATCTAAAAGTGATCACTTTTAGATTATGGAGATATTTGAGATCAATATTTATCAAAATGAATAGAAATATTTTCTGCGATGTAGTTAGGGCCGCGATGGACCGGAATCGATGGAGAGATCTAATTCGTGCTAGAACGATGACCGCCAACCACGATCATGAGACATGATGGACACGATCAGAAAGCGATTTATCAAGATCTATTTTTTAATCAAATACAAAGCGCTAAAAGTACTTTATGGTTTGTTAGGTTAGAAGATAATCCTTATGTATATAATTCTTCTGTACGTGTATATGTCACTGAACTCCTCGTAAGCGGCTGGACCGATTATAATAAAATTTTGTGTGTGTCTTCAGGTAGATTCACATTTTTTTTATTTTTTTTATTTATAAGTTGTTTTCGGATTTCAGTAGTTTTTACAGGACGTCTATCGGGTCCGCTATTTTAGTATAAGCATTGAATAGTCAAACCCACATTTTAATAACGAAAACTTTAGCGTAGCAACTTGTGTGTAACTTATTATGCGCATAGTTTCAAATAACTTATGCTCATCAATTGGAGGTCCATTGAGTAAATTTGCCAGTATATACCTACAAGTTCCTTAACCGTCACATAAATATGGTGAACATCCATCAAGACTGCAACATTTCCCTTCACTTATTCGACTAAGATTTAAACGTGACGCTTACTTTTTTAAGTCGGGAGGAAGAATGACTTGCGACGATAAGGTTGCAGTCGACAGACTCGCAAAAAGGTAAAGCCTATAGGAGGGTATCAGGGCATTGTCCACCACGCGGCCCCACTACGGACTGGCGGACTTCACATATCTTCGAAATATTTTTTTTGGTTATTATTTCGAAAATATGCAGATTTCCTCGCGATGTTTTCCTTCACCGCTGAGCACGTGATAATTCAGCACTTAAATTTGACAATCAAGGTCAAAGTCAAAGCCGAGCGCCCGGACTCGCAACAGAAATATAAAATGCTGGACAGCTGGCTAAGCGCAGTCACAAGCCAGGCCGCGCGCCGAACCGGTGCGCTATATTGTTTTATTGCAAATTGGCTGGACCCGAGCCGCGCCTGTCCTTTACATATACGAGGCTATTAAACAACGACCGGGTGACCAGTCACGTGTTAAACGAATCCGATCGCCGTACAATGTTAGACGGCGAACGAAACGGTCGACACGTAACTGAAGATTTGTTAAAACAAATGCCTCTCGCATAACGTCTGCTTTCCTGCTAAACTTAACATCTAGCTTGCTCTAACGGATATTTTAGAGATGTACCTAGTGTCTATCTGCTGCGTATACATATTTTAAGTATCTTGTAAGATCTGCCTGATCCTATAAATTATCCCTTAACTTTTAGAAGCAATTTTTATCCCTTTTGCTTCCAATATAACATAAAAAACAAAGGATGTTTAGTGCTACTACGGAAGGAAAAGGACCGTTTCAAAAACATTTTCATGAGAAACATCGAGAATGCTCAGCTATTGTAACTTTTTTTATAATATAACATCTCGGGAAAACCCTCGTAATCGTTTTATAATGCTACACATCTAAGCGCAGAAATAAAAAAAATTACTGCGTGTAAAAAATTCAAGCAATGAAGCGTTTGTTCAGGCATCGCTCTTTGTAAGCAGTTTTGAATGTAAGGGGTCTCAAGAAATGTCAAACAGTCTTACGAAGTTAGATTTATTTCATTTGTGATTCCCCTCTTTTTTAATTTGTTGAAAGTTGACAATTTATAACCCCATTTTTGTTATTTTTGATAAAATCTGTTTATGGTTTTTCGAATCATGGAATATTCCGGTAGTGTACTTAATTTCCTATATTACAAAATAAAACGTAGGTAATTTCTTATAGGCCGGTTGAATGAGGAGTTATGTTATTATTACTTATGTAATTACACAGAAGAGGGAGAGACTGTATTGTCCTTCGTGAAAGCAAGTACGAAATGATTCTAAATGATACCCGTAAAGTTTTAACAAATTTTGTTACGTGCAAATTAAAGAAGCACTGTGTCCTAATATCAAACGTAAATTCCAATCGAAACGGTCGAGATTAAGTCCGGCAGGATCGTAAGAGGAAACTAGAGTGAAATCGATTCACACAACGAATCAAGCGGAGGCGGCTGTTATGGCGCCGCAACAAATTGAAATTGATATCATCGGTGGGCAGCGGGTGGCCGGATATTACGAGTGTCAGACGTGATCACGCACTTGCTACCTACAGATCCCTGATCTACAGCTCACGGTGTTGTCAGTTAACCGTCTATAGACATTTTAAAGTCGAAAGACTTTAAAATGTCTATAGACGGAACATTTTTTTTTTAATTCAATGTTGTACTTACGAACGTCACTGCTTCTGAAAATTCAGCCATATCACGGAAAGAAAAATTGTAAAATCCAAATTGGTTTTTTGGCTTTTTTTAAAGGTACGGCAGAATTATTATAAAGTGACCAGTAACTATGGGGGAAAGATATATGGAGCAGGAGTTATTTTAACACATTTCGATCTAATTCTAAAAGGTTGAGGATGTAATTTTAAAACATTGAATTTTAAAAGAATCAAGATTGCAATTATTATTTTGGTAAAAGATTAACTTTATAATTAATTCGTATTTTCTCGCCTCAAATTTCCTCAAGATCCCTGTAAAAAGAGTTCCATCTAATAACGCGGAGTGCTTCTTCTTCTTTCTTTATTTATGGCTTCTCTTTAAAGAATAATTTAAGTGTTCGTTTAATAATACGGAAATCATTCAAATCTACCGTCTATTTATATTAAAAATGAATTATTGTTCGTTAGTCTCGCTAAACTCGAGAATGGCTGGACCGATTTGGCTAATTCTGGTTTTCAAATATTTGTGGCAGTCCAGGTAAGGTTTAAACGACAAGAAATTATGGAAAAATTGTATAGAAAATCGATATATCAACAATTTTATTTTCCCATACAAACTTCCTACCTGTCAACCATTTTATGTGTATGTTGCGAAAATTTTCTATGTGTTCAGATTACAAATTCTCTAGTAATAATTTATATGGCAAAAACAACGTTTGCTAGGCTAGCTAGATTATTATAAATATGTAATAAGTTCTAAAAACTAAAAAGAAAAAAAAATTAAAACAGCGTAATAAATAATTCCACCGAATCGATGATTGCAGGTACGATTAATTTTGTATGAAACTCTACATGTTTAATTGCCACTTTGGCACGTTTTTGTGAATGTCCAGGTGCTACGTAATA